AACCAGAGTACAGGATAAAATATAATAAGTAATTAATTTATTTCAATAATAATAAAAGTAAAACAAACAAATGAAACTAAATATATAAATGTACCATATTAATAATAATAATAATAATAATTCAATTCATTTATTGTATAATATTTCACAAGTAAATGGGCTATTTACGATAACTAAGTAATAAAATTAAATTTAATAATTTTAATAAAATAAATAATACTAAATAATAATAATAATTCTTAATGACGTAGTCTGGGATTAAACCCAGTACCCTTCGACAAATAGGCTATCTTGCCACTTCAGAGGTCTAGTATTTACCATAAAAACCTGGTGTTAGATAATAAACATTTAATTCAAGGGCGTGGCTTCCAATTTCGACTGCACTAAATTAGCAGAGTAACAATTCCAATGAAGACGTTTACTAACGGTGTTTAAGACCGTGGTTCTAATACGAGCAGTTAATTATGTACGGACATACGTAACTATGTAAAACATTAAATTAAAACAGTTAATATTTAAAATAACGGCTGTCTTATGGGTTGAATCAGCGCGTAGTGTGATAGAAGTTTACCAACATATCAGAGGTCACTGCTGCTTCCATCATCAGGGCGATGATAATATCTGGAACGCTGTTAAACTTCTATCACACTACGAGCTGATACATAAGACAGCCATCTTCAGACTCACCGCCGCGAAAACGTGAAATCCTACTTGTTAATATTAAAATTCTTGTTCTTCTAAGAAACGTAGGACCTAACTAAATGTAAGCCCAGGATGAATGACATTATGCACCCAAGTTTTACCACGAACATTTAACTTGCACAAATGAATGACCTACATCGGATTATTTCAAAGAATCTAACAGCATCTAATTTGCCGTAGGTAAGGGAATTAACATCTGGGACTACCAAACGCACAACGAATCATATTTGATCGCAGATGGATCAACTGGTGATGTTGCTTGTGATTCCTATCATCTCTACGAGAAAGACGTAACTCTGTTGAAAGACCTCGGGGTAAGCAGAGGTTGTAACAAATCTGGAATATTTAATTAACTAAGCACATTTAACTTAAATCTACAGCAGTAAGCATATTATTTTCAGGTGGAGAAACTGTTTACAAAATCCATTCGAATCTTAAAAACGTCAATTTATTTACGAATTTTACTGTTAACAGTTCTGTAATGCTCTTAGCATAACAAAAATATAATTAATGGGTCACTGATATTGACGTTAATAAATGTTTCTAAATCTATAGTTGGAGATGTTTAAAATCAGAATAAATCTTTCATTATCAACAAAATATACTTTATACTTCAAAAGTTCTCTAATACGCAAATCCTCTGTTGTGTGTGATTAATTATAGTACGACACAATCTGCATTTAAACACTTTTTTACAGGTTGACTTTTACAGATTCTCTTTCTCGTGGTCAAGACTTCTTCCAAACGGGCATATCAACCATATAAACAAGGCCGGCATCGAATATTATAACAAACTTATAAATGCTCTGCTAAGAGAAGGGATAGAGCCATTGGTGAGTAACTTTTCAGTGACTTAAATTAATTCTGCCCACAGTGCAAGAATTTTTTATGATTCTCACTGTAAACAACGATTATTCCCTTAAACAGCGTTAACCAGCTGACTTTTGTAATGGTGAAACGTTGTGTTTACTTCGCGGTACGGACTGTATTATTATATAATATTTAGACGAGTTTCGGCTTCGAAGGGTTAATTAATTATCAGAATAAACAGCGATTATTCCCTTAAACAGCGTTAACCAGCTGACTTTTGTAATGGTGAAACGTTGTGTTTACTTCGCGGTACGGACTGTATTATTATATAATATTTAGACGAGTTTCGGCTTCGAAGGGTTAATTAATTATCAGAATAAACAGCGATTATTCCCTTAAACAGCGTTAACCAGTTGATCTTTGTAATGGTGAAGTGTTGCGTTTTCTTTGAGGTACGGACCGAATTCTTAAATACGTATGTGTCCATACCCCACCTAATGGACAAGAAACCTGCAGAGACCAAATAGTTCAAACACATTTTCACCTAACAGCAGGGGATAGACATTAAAGCACAATACTAACGCTTTATACAGTCATAAATGGTATTCCGCGAGGATTTAATCAGTTGTCCAATTCAATGTTTACGCAGGCTACAATCTATCACTGGGATCTACCACTACCACTCCAGGAACTCGGAGGATGGCCCAACGAACTTATGGCGGACTACTACGAAGACTACGCGAAACTTCTGTTCGAAAACTTTGGCGACAGGGTGAGGCACCTCTCCATAAAAAAAAAGTTTTCGGGAAACCTCGAGGGAAGAAATCAATAGGTAGACCTAGGCGTAGATGGAAGGGTTCTGGTAAGCCTAAACGTCTTGAGTAACTCAGCGACTGTTAGCTTCTGAAAAAGTATCCAAAGACCAACAGCATTTTGTTGGGAACTGCATCAAAGCAGCTTATAAAATTTGAAATCATTAAAATTTAAGATACTAAATATTACAATTTAAATCAGTGCAAACAGTGATGTTGCCATGGTAAAGTCAGAAGAGAGCCTAATCGCTTTATGATAGTTAATTATTATTTTATTTAGTGTTCTGTCTGACGACGGGTCCATATGAACAGGATCCTTCCATCCTTTTCTCGGATTGGGACCTGTTCATATACGTTCTTGGCAGATGATCCAGAAGTGGTTTGCCATTGCCTTCTTCTGTGTGTGAATGGAGTAATTGTTGGGATGCCACGGAGGAAAACCCCGTGTTGCCTAGACCACGATCTTGCCCAACACAAGTTATAAATTCGAACCCGAGACCCCAGGATTACAAGCCCAGCGTTCTAACCGCTAGACCACCGTGGCTATCTAGATGTATATAGGAGAATAAAATTAAAATAGATATTAGAAAATATAATATGAAGGTGTGGGTTGGATAAATCTGGTTCGGGGTAGGGACTAGTGGTTGGCTCTTGTGAACACAGCAATGGTCAGAAATTATCTTAATTAACTGAGCGAGCGTTATTGGATTTTACATAGCGGTACACTAAGAATATAAACATACACTAAACAATTCTACTGTCTTAACTTTTTTATGTGTTATGGCACACGTAAGTGACAGCTCTTCCTGCCCCCAGTGTAACACAGGCATTGTTCCTAAGTTCTCAGTTAATTATTAAGCATGTCTAATTATTAATCATATTACTGCATTGTCATGGATACGGGTGTGTTAGTAAGCACGTATACCAACCTTACAAAATGATCATCAGGCAGCCAGCCAAAATCTCATTTTATGCAGATGATAAAAACACGTGAAAATAATCTTCACATCGGCTACTCTCATTGCAGATAAAGTTCTGGATCACATTCAACGAGCCATCTGTGTTTACTGCGGGTTACGAGAGTAAGACATACCACGCACCGAGTATCGAGGCACCAGGTTTTGGAAAGTACCTGGCCTCACACACTTTACTGAAGGCTCATGCACGGGCCTACCACCTTTACAACGAAACATTCAAGGAAAAACAAGGAGGTTAGTATTGAACTATTAAAATTTCAATAAAAAAATCTTCTAGGGCGATCAACGGCGTCGAATGGTTACACGAAGATACCGACGTTTCGGGAACCATCTCTGCCCCCATCATCAGGGTTGTTTGCTCAGCAATAAAAGAACCGCAGTGGATAACAGTGTTATCGTTACTAACACCCAGAATACGTACCTAAATTTAACACAAACTGGCTTCAATTAATATTCAAAAGAATGCAAATAGATAAAAAACATTTCAACGGACATTTTAAGAGATTAAATTTATAAATGATGTACGATATTGGAAGCAGGTTATCTCCGAAACGTCGGCTATTTTCCGACAGCCCAACACAACATGCCAGAAGGCAGTCATCTTAATGTTTGAGGATCTATAGTTTCATAATTACAGCTAATAGGAAACGGAGGGAAATTTTAATCCGTGAAGGAATAAATGGTGTTTTACGATTATATTCGTTTACAGGTGAAGTAGGCATAACGCTTAACATCGGCTGGTGCGAACCGAAAGAGGACACGGAGGAACACATAGCAGCCTGCGAGCGACTTCAGCAATTTGAGGTAATTCCAACACACGAGTCACACACGTCTCCAGATGAAACTAACTGAACTCATTGTTCGCTGTCCTTCGTAACGATTTCTTAAGATACATTTACATTATGTATTTTTGTAATGTCTTTAGTATATTATTTTACTAAAACATTTCCTTCCCTATGTGATTCATATACTTTATAATTCTTATTAAATTGTATATATTTTGCTTACTTTTGGAAGGTTGATTGGATTAATCTGACTCAGGATAGGGACCGGTAGCGAGGAACTTGGTAATGAACCTTAGGATTCTATATAAGGAGGGAAATTTCTTGACTAGCTTAGGGTAATATTATTTGGCTTCTCAAGAAGGGCTCTGTTCTATGCAGATTATATATATATTATAATCTGAATTCATATTTCAATAAATATATAGATTATGAGAATTTTCATAAACACGTTTTTAAATACTTTCAGATGGGATTATATGGAAATCCCATATTTTCGGAAGAAGGCGATTACCCTAAAGTTGTACGGGACAGAGTCGATGCGAACAGCAAAGCTGAGGGATTTGAAAGATCAAGGCTGCCAAAATTCACTGACGAAGAAATTAAATACATCAGAGGTATGCGGCCATTATGTATCAGCAATTTCCCCCCCCCCTTTACGAACTCTGTAAAACTTAAGCTAAAATTAACATTAATTCTGAGTCTATTTCACAGATTCTTAAAATATAAAATAAAATCTTACAAGTTTATTGATTATTATTATTATTGATATCAGTATATAGATATCAGAAATTTTTGAAACTTTTTACACTACATTCAATCGATAATATATTTGCTTTTAAAGGGACATCAGACTTTTTTGGGCTGAACCATTACTCAACGTACTTAGGAGTTCCGTCTACTGAAAACACTGCCGAGCCATCTTACGAAAATGATATCGGAATATACCTAGAGCAGGATGACAGTTGGCCTGAATCAGCATCTTCGTGGCTTCGTGTAAGTTTATAAATTAATTACGACTGGAAGTTTAAAAAAAAAATTAATATATCGATAAAATATTTGCATACAGATACATTTACTGTGACGAATGTCGAAATTATTCGAATAAAATCTTACAGCAATCGATTCTGTGGATGAGCGAGTTCAATTCATATGTTTTACAGGTTGTTCCATGGGGATTCCGCAAGCAACTAGTCAGTATAAAAGAGAGATACAAAAATCCACGGATTATTATCACAGAAAACGGTTTCTCGGATCGCGGAGAACTCCAGGACTATGGACGTATTCATTACTACATTGTAAGTGCGTTTAAAATGGAAGCATTATTTAAGAAAGAAACATGGCTTCCAGTTCTGGAGCGTAGCATATCGGCGTGTATTGTACAGTTGATGTATACAAATACTGCTCGACAGATTTAGCTTAAAACCAATTACAAGAACACTGGGGCTAAAAATGTAACATCAGGCATTACTGAATTTGTTACAGGGCTATCTTACCGAGATGCTAAAAGCCATACATAATGATAGTGTCGACGTTTTTGGATACACAGCGTGGAGCCTTATGGACAACTTCGAGTGGAATCAGGGTTACACGTAAGTGCTATGTCTTATGAATAGAGTTATCAGATTTATAATTTCTAATTTAACCATTTAACCCTTAGGCAAATAAATTCCGAATCTAAACTTCAAAAAAATTGTTTCATAATTTCAATTTCAGACGCGTTAAAACTTTCAAGCTAAAGGATTTAAAGTTAAACCATCATTATATACAAAAATTATCTAACTCAAAATTCTGGTCAAAGGTGAAGCGATTATTTATTTAAACAACATTAATCTCATGATCTTTGTAACGATGAAGATTTGTGTTTTCTTTGCGGTACGGACTGAAACTTTAAATATGTCGGCGGTACCCGAATTTATAACTTGTGTTGGGCAAGGCCGTGGTCTAGGCAACACGGAGTTTTCCTCCGTGGCATCCCAACAATTACTCCATTCACACACAGAAGCAGGCAATGGCAAACCACTTCTGGATCATCTGCCAAGAACGTATATGAACAGGTCCCAGTCCGAGAAAAGGATGGAAGGATCCTGTTCATATGGACCTGTCCTCAGACAGAACACTAAATAAATAAATATATGAGGACTAGTCTAAAGGGTTTTACTTCTGTAAGTTATTTTACTTGGTTTCTGCTATCTTTTCACAACAGGGAGAGATTTGGACTTCATTACGTCGACTTCTCACATCCTGACCGACCCAGAACAATCAAAGAATCCGGTAAAGTGTACAAAGAAATTGTCGAAACAAGACAGATCCCTGAACGATATCAAGAGGAAAATTCAGAAGAGAAACTGTCAACTTTTTGGTAAGATTTTTTTTCCAGCTTTTATCAAATGTGATTTAATGAAAGTACGAAACTCTTATATTCATATGTAGAAACATAGACATAATAAAATGTTAGATTATATACAGAACGTATTTGTTTTTTGTACACTTCCTTAATATAAAAAATGGTACTAAGAATAATGTTCTGTAGCACATTTCTGCCTTCACTGGCTAAACCGAATTGTAGGTCCCATATTCCTTACGCGAGATACTGCACATGTCTACTTCGTATTAAAATAAATCATAAAATACAAACTTCTGTAAAACTTATATTTAGCCCTATTATGCTAATTTATGAGCTCACATACTTAGTAAATAATTGAAAAGAAAGCATTGATGATGTTAAATTCTGTAAAGAAACATGTACCTAAGGTAGTATATTTGCGTCATATTGTGAATTAGGTTAATATTTTAATATTTTCCGTCAAATCACAATTTTATTATCTTATTAAAATTGTGATTTGACGGAAAATATTAAAATATTAAACATGTACCTGTAAGTAAAAGATGTTATTAATTAACTAACTACATGAAGGACAGCCCTCCATTAGAATCTAACAGTATTTTATCTATTCAAGACATTTCATGTTTTAGTTGAAACCAAAGGTTCATTACAATGTTTTCAGAAGTCCGTCACTGGACTTAGCCATATAAATCTAATCAAAGTTATTTAAGATATATTTATCATCATCATCGCATCCACGCCTAGGCGTTTCCAAATGGTGCCTAAGCACCAGGTTTTCCAAAAAAAAAAATTGTATATTTATTTCTTGGAAGTGTGTTATACGCCGCGTTCTCAAAACGTCATAATATTTTATGACGCAATCAAATTACGAAACTTTCATTACAATATTTACATCCTCATGCAAACTTCTTTTATTATTCTATCATTTAGTAAGTAATAATACTAAGGCAGTCAGGATGTGACGTAAGGCTTTTATTCACATCCAGTGATTGCAATGGAAAGTTTACGAGCAATGCAATTATAATTCAATTTCGTCGCATACTTATTTAGTACTCACTTCAGTGGCGTAAGGTCAGTCAGCCTAGAGTACACAAAGATGCTGACCTCCTCATGCACTGACTGGAGTTAACTCAAACTTAGTGTTACTTTTTGGGGAAAAGCCCTTCGAAGCTACTCCAGAGCACAGTAAAAGACGCATATGACCGTGTCTTGTCTAATAGAATGTGAGGCACATCATAACATGAATAAATCCTTCGAAAATATGGCAAAGTTCAAGTTTCTGCAAACGTCAGTAACATATACAAATTTTATTTAAAAACAAATTCCGAACAGATTAAATTACAAGGGTCATAGAGTCAAGGAGACTGTATGGACGGAACATACAGCATGGGCCAATTATGGGCCCTTCAAAACTGCATTTTATATAAAAATCCGACACTGATAAATTTTATAGAGAAACAAGTTAAAAATTACAGCCATGGCACTGAATGTGATGGAAAATTGTTCTTCAGTACAGACATTGGAGCTAAAATGTATAACAATACATAAATTACTGGTTACATACAAACTCGCCCCGATTATAGAGGCAACAAGGACCTCTGAAACGTCGGTATACTTCTACAAGACTTCACGACAACCCAGAAGACAGCCATCTTCAGACTCCACGCCGTGAAAACATCAAATCCTACTTTAAGAAAGGCATTTTTTAATATTATCGAGTGGATTTAACCGGATTACAATTGGTTACAGTAGGTACGGGGCCCGTGTTCCAACTGTGGTGAGTTCTGATGTTCCGAATGCTCGACTGCCGAATGAAGTTTCCCAGCGTTTTTATATTAAACATTATTTCAGATCCTGACCGCTCATCCATCTGCAAGGATGGCTAATAGTGTGGGAACACATCTCATAACAAAATCGAGGCATTATTATACCTAATGAGGTCATTCTGACACTCTGACATAAGTTCCCCTACAGGAAGCTAAAGTTTTTATAGATCTGACATTTTCGTGACTGTGGTATTGTCAAGCGAACACAAACTATTTGTGTAATATCTCACGACGAAAAAAAGATTAATGACAAGAACTGACATAAATAAATAAATAAACAAACAAACGTAGCGAACGATATATCCACATACACGAAACCAAAGGCTTGCTGGCTGTTTACTGCGTGTTCGACACCAGATTAAGCCTTAAACTACTGTAAACTCTCAGTACAGGCTTACGCAGAAAGCGAAATAAAACAAAAATATTAGACGATGTTCATGAGGGGAAGATAGAGACCCAAATAGGAGGATAACACTAAATTAATTATTAAATAAGTGGGATGAAACAGAAGGAAAAGCAAATAGGTAAAAATAAATTAAAATAACTCGAAAAGGATATAAATAAGCAGACAAAAACCGAGTATGTCTTGAGGTCAGTGGTAGGGTCTTGTGAACACAGTAATAAAAATTATCTTTTCATAGCGGGAATTTTGATACTTTTAGATTACCTCACAGTGGCACAGCGATTTATTTATTTATTTAGTGTTCTGTCTGACGACAGGTCCATATGAACAAGATCCTTCCATCCTTTTCTCGGACTGGGACCTGTTCATATACGTTCTTGGCAGATGATCCAGAAGTGGTTTGCCATTGCCTTCTTCTGTGTGTGAATGGAGTAATTGTGGGGATGCCACGGAGGAAAACTCCGTGTTGCCAAGACCACGGCCTTGCCCAACACAAGTGATAAATTCGAACCCGAGTCCAGAAGTGGTTTGCCATTGCCTTTTTCTGTGTGTGAATGGAGTAATTGTTGGGATGCCACGGAGGAAAACTCCGTGTTGCCTAGACCACGGCCTTGCCCAACACAAGTTATAAATTCGGGCACCACCGGGAATCGAACCCGAGACCCCCAGGATTAACAAGTCCAGCGTTCTAACCGCTAGAATATTATCAGAACACTTTAGAGGTGCGCTCACTACACTCTACGCTTAACTGCTTGATATTTTCAGTCTATGTGTAGTAGCGTAAAACTCTGGCGTGTCACACTTCCTGTAGTCCACTTGATAAGAAACATTTCTCCTGCACAGAGCCAGAAACGACTGTGGACATTAGCTGGAAGGTTTGGATCTAAAGACATGTCGCAAAGCAGACGCATGGAGTTGAAGTTCCGTCAACAATTGTTGACCGTCACTTTGTTGGCCGGTGCCTGTGGTGTAATCCACGCTGGAAAAGAAGTCTCTTCGCTATTCAAGTTTCCACGAGAATTTCTGTTCGGAGTTTCTACTGCTTCTTACCAGATCGAGGGAGGCTGGAGCGAGGACGGTAAGAAATACACCTACTCAAATTGTCAGCGGTTAAGCGGACAGGGAAATTTTGATTTAATTTCATAACTGGCTTTGCTCCTCAGAAGCTATGCTGTTTGTATCCTAGCGAATCATTTTTAAATAATATGCAGAAAGACGAAGAATCTTTGCACGAGAAATCAGTAATTTATTCATAACACAAATCACAAGGAAAACGAGTTTAACGATAACATGCCGTCACTAGACAAATCTTCAGTACAAATCTTAAAAGAACGCGGTATGAGGATGTGGGGAATGGATTCTTCTGGTTCAGGATAAAGTGGGCTCATGTGAACGTGGTAATCAGCCTTGAGGCTTAGAAAAAAAAATCAAGTACTCTGTACTGAATGTAGTTAGTTCCTTGTGACATCAGCAAACAAGTTATATCCATAAATTACATGGCCCCGGTACATACCGACTGCTGTTTTCTGGATTGTAACGTCTTGTACGCATTTGCCAACGCATTAGAGGAACTTTTACCGCCTCGACATTCAAGGTTGGACTTATATTTGTTTTTAAACCTTCGATATTGAGGAGATACGTCCCTCCGACACACCAACGTACGAGAACTTACAGCGTTACAGCCCACAAAGACAACATTTATACAATTACGTAAGCTGACAAACATTGTCCAATGTAAATTGACAAGACTTACTATAAATAATACATGTTAAGGCCTGTCTTGACGCCGAAATAATTTGTTTAATGACATTCGATCACAGTTTGGTGGAGTATGTTTAGTGTACTAGTAGGTGACATGTACATGAGCGTATTGGATTTGTTAGCTGTTCAGCGAACACATTTGGTTAACTGTTCTAAAAGATAACGTTCGCAACCTAACGTAACAACCATTTTAATTAATTTACTTTTTAAATAGTTGATTAACGTGATTTCATCGAAGTCAGAAGCACCAACAACATCCAAGAAACATTCCGCTCAACAAAACAAAACACTCATTAAAATTTCGTCCACTGGCTGTAACAGATAGCATTACGTTTTTATCTTATGGAAACAGGAAACACCTTGGAATCGTCGGGAAATATCTTCCAGATTACAAGTCACACAGTCCCAGTCCAGTCACGACACATACGCTGATATTTTAAGAAAGGGGAACACGACGCAGAAGATAAAACCACGATAAACAATTACTATTTTTTTTTACAGGCAAGGGCGTTAGCATTTGGGACACGCTGACACACAATCGACCTGATATGGTGGAAGATGGCACTAACGGAGACGTTGCCAGCGATTCCTATAATCAGTACAGACAGGATGTGAAAGCTCTCAAGGAAATGGGGGTGAGTA